ATAACTCATAATTCTTCCTATTTAAATGCAATAAATTTATTTCACAATTTCATATAGTTCCCGATGTCACATTTTACATTCTCGTTCAATGCAATTAAATATAAAAGTTATGCATTGTCAGATTATTGTTCTTACTTTGAAACTAATCAATATCGTCTATTTATTTCATTACATGTACTGCTAGTCTGCTATGCTATTGAATAGGCAAAATACTTAATGCAAAATCAGCTGCTGTTGCATACCTCGCATATATAATTTGCTACTGGAGTGGTAATTGGACATGAATAAATTGAAAGTACAAAATGAATAAAGTATAATATTCAATAACATTTAATTATTTTCAAGTATGTTTTGCCTATGCTTTATGATATATTATTATAGTGAAGATAGAGACCAACTAAGTTTTCATTTTCGCATTATCTTTTTGAAATTGTAAATTATGTTGTCATGAATTCAGTTGTTTATTTTATATTATTATTTCTGTATTTAATACATCTTCAAGTCAAAATTTTTATTTTTTTTCATCTCTGAAGGAAACAAAAGGTTTCATGTATTTACCTTATGGTACTTCCCGATTTAAATTCAGAAATATTTGTTCATCTATTCAATGCATGTAGAGCGTACACTACATTAGTATGTACTTGGTTATGCATGGGCAAACTATAATCGAGGTCGAACGGACTATGTACAATAGGGGTTCCCAATCTTTTGGGTCTTGTGGCCCCCTTCTGGAGGCTTTTAGCACTCATGGCCCCCCTATTTATCATTCCAGTGGTATTTATTGGGTCTTTTGTGATTGGTAGATTTCTAATCTCTTCATATTCAAACAATTCATGCTCAACAAAATGAAAACACCCCGTGAAATAACCCTATCAAGCAATGAAACTAGGAAGAACAGGGAGTTTTCTTGTCAAGCGAAAAGTAAAATCAGTTTCCTGCCTAGCATTGTGGCCCCCCTTCAGCTGCTCTGTAGACCTCTTAGTTAGGATGCCACAGGCCCCGTGTTGAGAACCACTGATGTAGAACTTCGAATAATTCTTTTGAATGCAGAGTATCAGATAGATTTTATATTGGTTGTGTTCAAAAATCAGTGTAAACTTATAGAAATTGAATTTAGGAATGTTGAATATTTGAGATAGACGTTCTTTTGACTGGTTTTCTATCTTTCATACAGAAGTAAATGAAATCTATTTTATGTATGACCATCAAAATTCTCATTTTATGATAAATTAAAAAAAATTGTATATATCGAACATTACAAATTTTCGAATAAATTCAAATGTTCGATTCTTTTTGGACACCCTTGTTATTATGATACTATATTTAATCAAATCCATTCAAAATATCTAATTCATTACAATGTCAATATATGTTAATATCGCCCTATTTCTCATTAATATTACAGTAATAAATCATAAAGGACACTAACCCTCCTTTAGTTGACAAAATCCATCAATGTGAAGGCATTTAATAATAACAAGTCTAATTGTGTAATGAACACTCTAGGGACTTGAATTGCAAATCAACCATAGCAAGTACGACAGTTTTTTATCAAAGCGTCAACTGTCTGTAAATCCTGGCTGGCAACCTGATCTGCTTTAAATTAAAATAGCTGTTCAAAGGAGTTTTTAGTTTACTAAATAGTAAATATAACATTGATGATGGAATCTTAAATGGAAATTATAATAGTAGGAGTAATAAGTTTCGCTTAGCTTATACTTTTATATTATCCAAATAAAGGTTTCTACTTTCTTTTTATTATTATTATATGCTGATGGAACCCTCCCTTTTTTGTCTAACCTCTTTTGTCCCATTCTGGAATTAGAGTAAACAGGAATGGCTGAGATTCACCAATCCGAATACCTTCTGCAATAATAATATTGAAGGATGAATATTGGGCGCTCCAGAAGTGTGTGTGCCAATATGGAGGTAACTAATATTGTTCGCCTACTTTACATCAAGTTGTGCAAAGGGACTGAAACCTATGGGCAGGGGTATATTCACTTGGCTAACACAGACAGTCCCCAACTCATAATAGAACTAAAATAGGGAAAATACGAATAAAATTATGGCCTAACCCTAACCTGGTATACACACTACGGGAGTACCAAATATTGAATATAATCCAAATGAAGTAAACTATTCAATAGATGGCATGCTAAACTCATTGGTTATCAGTAGATATAGATCAAGTTAACATATGAAGATGTTTAGACTTGTTTTCAGTAGTTGATTAACCTGATTGGATAGTAGAATCAGTTGTCATATTCACCAAAGGCATGAAAATGAAATTTTCGATTTTCTCAAAAAAAAAAAAATGTATTCATTTAAATTAACCAATATTGCTGTAAAATCTTGATGTATGTAAGATACTCCAGATTTAAAAAGTAAAATTTGAAATATATAAGTTTTTTGCTTGAAATATTTCATATCTAGGCTATTTGAAATTGGATTGGATTGCTTGAGAGAATACTAAAGACTTCTTCTATTCAGTATACATATCTTACTACCCTGTATAAGTATTATGATTGTGATATTCATTTTCTGCACTCAATACAATGAATAGGCTTCAACTGTGGATAAACATATACCAAGGGAGATAATGAAATCAAGGAAATATCGGAATACATTCAAAGTTGTTGTATTCAGTATAATGAATTTTTGATTGTAGGAATAATTCTAAATTGTTTTGTTCATCATGCAACCTACCGTAATTATTTGATTTCTTTAGTAAATGTATAAATTTGCATTTATTGTATGATCGATGAGTTCACTTTGTGCAACTTACATACACAAATGTGTGGGAAAGCAATATAACAACATGTCTTGCAACTGTGTATTTATAAAGGCACTTTGGTTTTTTTAGTTTTGTTTTGTACTTCAGTTAAAATATTATGTTGATTTTGTCAATGTGTTTGTAATTATGAAAGTCATTGCCAGTTTTATAATTAGTGTAGTCTTCTTCAGTTAGGCTACAATTCAGTGTTTCCCAACTGTTTTTGACCGCGGACCATCTCAGAAACAAAAATAATGGCGGCAGACTCACGACACCTGAATTAAGTAAATGTTTTTTTGATATTTGTTTATTGGGGCAACTATAAAAACACTATTTATTGCTAAACATTTGCGCTTTCACTTTACATTTTTCCAATAAACAGAAAGGTTTTTTCTATAGATTGACCAGTATTGTGTAATTAACTATTCTGGTTATTTTTAAGTTTGTATTGTTCATTTCTTAAGTTTCATTGTAAAAAAAAAGTTATAGAAAATTTTGTAAGATTTCTCAGTTTTCAGAAACATCTAACATATAATCACACTGAAATGGATCATAGTGTGCAGGCTTATTTAGAGAGATAGAGTTTGTAGAAGTGTTTCCTGAGAATCAGGATATTGCTCCAATCATTATTTTTAACATTTTAAGTACTTCAATATTTGTAAGAACTAGGCAGTTTTATATTTGAGGAATTTTTCTCTCTTTTCCATACTTCTGTTTGAATCAATAGATAATTTTTCGCTGTTTCTGACTGGAGATAGTTTGCTGCTTGCTGTTTCAAATATTCTTCAAATTAGTTTAGTACAGTGCTCTTCAACCTTTTTGTTATTGCGGAACCCCTGATATCATTTTTTGTTTTTTATGGAACCCCAAATAATAAAAATAAAAATAAAACATGAAATACTCGTAACACGAAATATTTGTAATTCAAATATTTCTACTTCAACAACGAAACAGAAAGAAGATAAGAAGCGCGAAATTCAATGACTAGGTTGTTCCTGCATTTCCGTTGCAATCTTCTGGCTCCACGGCTCTCTATGCAATTCTCATACTCATGTCTACACTCTAAACTTCTTTTTTGTTTTTTAATAGTTGTTAAAGCAGAAAATGCTGATTTACACAAATAGGTACTGGGAAATTAAAGTTTTAATGCTTCTTTTGCAATTGATGTACCCTCTTTGTGAAGAGAAATCCAAAAATATTCCTTCCCATGTTTTTCGAAGGTTTCCTCCGCATTAATTTATTACGGATATCTAGGAGTCCTTCTTGCTGTTGCGCACTTAGAAATTCATCCAAAAACGGAAAAAAAGAATAATCATTTTTTGCAACTTTACTGGCCCAGCAGTCAATTTTTCTTTTACGCGGAACCCCTAAAGAACCCTATGAACTCACGGAACCCCACTGCATGTGTTGCGAAACCCTAGGGTTCCGCGGAACCCCTGTTGAAGAGCACTGGTTTAGTATCATGATTTTGTATTAAAATCGCTTCTTAGTCTTGAAAAAATTGTGAAAGTTTGATAATGCAGAAAAGGCAAAAAATTCTAGTTTAGTTTTTTTTATAGTTTTAGAGGTTGAGGGAAAGCATAAGTAAAGTTCACAATAAATATCCTTGCACGCACTTGCACATCATCACTTATGACTTGATTTGAACCTGCGAACTTATGTAGTAATTAAAATGTTTTGATTGATTTTCTAAGTTTCGAACTGTCTGACAATCATCACATGTCAAATTCTTTTTAAATGAAAATTTTCTTAATTATATATAGAATCAAAAGTTTACTATAATGAATGCAACTAACATGTATAGACATGGATTATTTCTTTAATTATCAAGCCATTAAAATATTATTAATAATCTTTAGTAGGTCTACGGACCAGAAGGCATACCTCAAATTATTTTTTTTCTAAAAAATCGATCGTGTGCCTTATAAGTCGGTACGCCTTTAATGATTGGATCAGGTAGTGCTTTGTGCTTTATTGCCCACACTCAAAATTAGTACAAGTCCAGTGCACCTTATGTATGGATGAAACCCCAATCTAAACCCCGATTTATTGAAGGTGTGCCTCATGGTCAATAAAATATGTTCCTCTTAGTATAGCATTTGTAAGAACAAGTCAGAAAAGCCATTTTTTATCGATATCGATTTTTACTACTCACGAGTTATGTTATTTTGTTTATTTTTTTAAATGAGTTTAATTATAATTTTGTATTCATATTATTTTTCAGTCAAAATATGAAGGATTAGATGCAAATTACACAACCTTAGATCAACAACAAACGAACAACAACAACTTCCAGTCAACTATAAATACGACCAATATTCCATCGGGATATAATATTAATGGTCAGCCAAGGTAAAATATTTGTTAATGTATTTAATCGGAAAGGATTTCTTATGGGATAGGAATAGCAATGCAACTTTATCATATAGTAAGGTGTGTTGTTCAACTTCTGGTTGGGTATGAGATAAGATTGACGGGTTCAATATGCAGGGATACCCAATAGTCGATATTCAAACAATTCAGTAGTCGATCATGCAGTCGGGTATGCAATCTTAGTAGACTACCAGTATGGCAATCTTCACGATCAAAGCAAAAGCGGAACTGCCACAAGGGGCGCAATTTTTGATGACGTCATCCCACACAAAAAATAAATCCCATAGAGGCCACAGGAATTTGCTCGAACGAATAGTAACTGATACTAATTTTTACTCTAACGAATCAGTAGCCGAACACCAATCCTGAACGAAATATATTCGACTAACAAGGTATCACTGTATTACCGTATGTATTCTTCATCACCATACCTAGATTTTTTTATATTGAAATTCTTCTTCCACGCATCAAAACTCATAACTATATAAACTGATCCCCTTTTGCCACCCCCAGATCAGGATGGTAAATGGATATACTGGCTAAGGATTGTTGTATGGTCAAAACATTCTATGCCTTTTATTCTATTTGGAACGAAATATGAAATTTTTTTAAATGCTACAACTTTATAAATGATCATGAATTAAAGTTTGGAATTATTTGACTGTGGTCTCTGCCTGTAAAACACAACCAACAATCTGAAAGTGTGTTATAAGACAGGTCTATGTTACTCATTCTTTGTATCATGTTTTTTGCAGATAACTTCCTTTTTGACATGGACCTATTGATTCGTTAATAAGGTGATACCACCTATTTAAAACAAGAAATAATTTCCCACTTTGAGTGGACAAAAAATCTAACTATGGCTCTTATAACCCTTGGTTCAAGATATCAACGTTTGAGTCCTGTATACTTTCTAGACTTCACTGATTCATTTTGGGCATGGGGTTAGGTTGAATCTTTTTAAACTGGGAGATGTGACTTCTTAATAGATCATGTTACAATATTTTGGAGGTTATGAGCTTGTAAATCAATCGCATTATTTTGTATGGTAATTTTAAAAGCGTTGCAGTGTGCTCACATGCGAAGTTCCAATTTTGTATACTTTTACACTTACTTCTACACACGCTCAAATGCATACATTTTACAGAGATTTTATAGAAACAAAAAAGTCTCCAAAATAGAGTCCAAAAAGGGTACCCATAGGAATGAAGAATTGTGATATTTGACTATTTAATTTGATTTCGACATCCCTGGTTCTGCACAAGTCTCCTTCCGGCTTTTGCACAGTTTGAATGGTTTATAATGTGCCCATAACTATGTACAATAATAATATTATTAAATAACTGACTAATATTATTTACACTGCATCAAATGCAAAGTAATATTTTCTCTCCAGCACGACATGTTATCCCCTTCCCCCCAAATCCCCCCCCTCCCCGGGGAGGAATTCTTTTCTGTTTAGAAAACGTGGCACAAAAGTACCGGTATATGTACGTCTGTTTTTCTAGCTCTGATCCTGATGTCAACCTGATTCAAAGCAACAATGTCGATGTTATGAACGAAACCCAAGAATTGACGTTCGCATCACAGGACAACAGCCATTACAATATGCAATTACTTGCACACAGTGCCCAACATTTACTGCAGAATCAACCAGAAACACAAATAACAAATCAATCATCAGGTATGAATGCTGTAACTTTAGGTCAAAGTAGGGAAGGCAGGCGAGAATCTCACATAAATAAAAGTCAAAATTAATTATGTCAGAAAAAAGATTTTATTGGACGGAAAGTTTTGCTAATTTCTTGCTGGGATTCTGGGATTAAAATGCCTTTTTCTGTAACTAATGTACCAATCAATGCCCAATGTTAAATACTATACATAAACATGAAAAAAATTGATAGAAAGTCATTACTTTTTCACTCTTGACATTTCAGTTGTCATCTGCAACTTTGGATTATTATATAGTTCCAATCGCCATTTAAATGGCCTCCTCTGTGGATGACGATTGGGCTTCCTTGTAGCCAGCAGTACTACAATATAGAGAATCAAAAAATAATTATATTATTTTTAAATTTCATATATACAATTTTATTAAACTTATCGTGTCATAATAAGGTATAATACTTTGAATCTCAATTTTTACAGGTACTGATTACATTCAACATCAAAGTAGTTCGGCACTTCAGCAGCTTGCAATGAGGGTTCAAATGAGAACTTATCAGGGTGGTACAACGCAGGAAAATATCAGGTAATTATTTCTATAAATAAAACAATCAGGGACCACTAATTTTTTATTTTTGATCCAAGAAATGAGAATAGAACTAATCAGCGCGGTGCAACACAAGAAAATATCAGGTATTGATTTACGCAAATAACAAATCAACGCCACAAATTTTCCTATTTTTGATCTAAAAAATGAGAATGCCATTTGATTTACATCTGACCAAAAGGATTAATTGGGCTACCTTATAATACAGATTTGATTAAAAAGAATTTTATTAAGTATACAAGATGTGTACTAAATAAAAAAAAAATTAAAAAAAAATCAATAAGAAGTAGGTAAAATGCTTATCTTGCTGTATATTGGACCCATATTGTTTTGGGAAACTGTTATGGTTCATGGTTGTGGTTGTTGAATCTAGAAATCACATTATTTTTCAGCTTAAAACTAAATTGTTTGCTGTAAGACCATTCATTACTATTATTTTTTGTTATATTTTGGGTTTCAGGAGCCCAGTGTTTCACCACACATTTTCATAATTTTAAAAATATTGTCCCGCTACGTGTGTTTCTCTCCCTGCGTTTAGTACTGTTTCTTGTTAATAAAGTGTAAATAAAAAGGGATCAAACATCTATTTTCCATAGTAAAAATATGTTACAAGAAAATGTTTGTAGGAGCAGCAATATGTTATGCTTATGCGTGGTATTTTATTTTAATTCGTCCGAAAAAATAGGAAATCATGCACAGAAGTTACTTTGTGTAAGATATGTGCATTGTTATTCCTGAGATTTTTCTGTACCTAACAGCTGTGTGACATTCATCCATGTTTAGTCCTTTATTTAATCATGTTTGCATACCCGTTGCATGGGGTAAATATAGATATTGCTTTGATAATACATCAATGCTCTGGCTGTATGCAGTAGAAGTCTAATCCGACACTTCTTGAATTTCTAGTTCTGCTGCTCCTATGATGATGGCAGGAGATACTGATATACCTGTTAAAAAAGACTATTTGCCAATGACTGGTCAGATAACTGGCGTCCGCGCTCAACTGCGAAAATCTTTATCAAGCAGTGGAAAGTTAGAGAATGTAAATGTAATGGTAAGTCTACTTACTATATTCAATATGTGATGGAAGAATTTCACTATCTGCTTTCAAGATCTAAATATAACTTTGATTAATGTTAATAAGAGTAATGTCGTGTTACTTATATGTGGTAGCGGAGATTGCCTAGTCAGTGCAGTAGTTCTCAAACTTCTAACAACTCTCGACACTTGACTCACTGCTCTTGCATGAAAATGTGTTGAAATCTGATGTGTTTCCATTGGTTATTTAGTGTGCCATGTTTAATAATAATAAATCCAAATAACGAAAGCAAAAAATAAAATTACCGTGTCGTAGTTGTCTCAAATACCTAGTGATGGTCATGGCACCCTGAGAACTATACTATGGGCCCCCTGACCTAGTTGTTAGCATGTTACACGTAACTATGTTGGTTTGACTGGGGAGAGATCCTGGGCCCAAAGCTCATGCCCACTACCTCACCTAGGGTGTAATAAAATTGGGTGTGTACTGCAAAATTTATAAATCTTCTTTACCTTATCATTTTAGGCTAATAGTTAATGTGTATTAGGACGAGCGACAAATCTGAGCAATATTTTCTTAATATTTGGAATTTGAAAACTGGTTGATAATCAGCAAATTTTAATAATGCTAATATGTCTCTTTTTAATTTTTAATATACTTTGCTTCCCACAGACTCATTTTATCACTTGGATATTTGCAAGAATTCAGAAACAAAATGTTCAAAATTATTTGAATGTTAGACAGGATTTTTCAATGTCTACATTTTCAAAAAAAAAAAAATTTTTTTCCTCGTTTTCAGGCTCAGGAATGGCCTAGAATGCAAATTCCAGTTGACAGAAACATGAACTCATCTGTCAGTCAGAACTACTACCTCACGAGAGCACAATCAGAAGTTGAAAATGATTCTTCCAATATTGATAATGCTCCATTGCTAAAGAACTTATTAGAGACAAACAGGTATATTTTAGATTTAGAACTTTGTCACTCCGAAGAGTAGGATCGGTTGAAAACAGTCATCGGAAACTAGGGCAAATTTTTCGTGGCCCTCAAACATCCTCACTTTTGATTCTTAAAACAAAAATTGCTTGTACACTTAGTATCAACTTTTGCGGATGTATGTTTTGTAGTAAGTAGCTAATGTAGGGTTTAATGTGGAAATTGTTTTTAGGCAGAATTTATTGTGATCTGTACGCTAGGTTTATAGGTTGAATAATTTTCAAATTTGACGAAAAAAAAAATATTCCGAACTAATTAAAAAACTTCTCTGCGTTACGAAATTTAAACTCTTTGTATATATACATTGACTTCTATGTGCTCTTTGTTGAACACGATCCAATTTATAATATATTCATTATTCCATATTCGAAAGCCTCATTTCAAAATGTATTCAGAAACGTAGATTATTCAGTCTTGTCCCCTAAACAAAGCTTGAATAATAATGGAGTTAATTACTATTACACTTTACTAGGCTTATTATACAGCATTAGCATATAATTTCGAATGTTCCGTCAAAACTTTCTTCTATCTTTCAGTTCAAAAATTGCAATGGCTGAAGCAAATGTCATTGGACAAGAGAACGGTGGAATGTCCAATGATACCATGTATCAGCATAGCCACAATGTGATGGGGAATAGTTGGCCTGGAGCTACTCCACAAAATAGCTTGCAATCACCTGTATTGGTGTCAAAACGAAGCATGTTCCAGTATCAAGAGAGTATCAATAATATGGGGAAAGCAGAGCAGTGTGTGGGGCCGCAACAAAGTCCCCTCAACAGTCCAACATATGTTAATCCGCCACAATTCCCTGTGCAACACAATCAAACCACACCCCTTCCACAAGCCAATGAGCAACAGTTCTTTGCGCCTGATAACATTATGGTTAACAATAATAACAACCAGCAGATGGTGCCAGAGGATGAATCTGTGGGTCTCAGCGAACCCCCAAATTTAAACGAAATGATTAAGGAAAGCGAAAACCTTGTAGACTTGATGGAAGCAGAGGCGAATTCAAACCAAGGGTCAATTTTGTCATTTGCGGATGCCGGGCAGTCATTGGACAGTACGATGGTACCAAGACGAGCGACTCCGCCCCCAGCGTATCACCTCGATCCAAATACTGGTCTTTTAAATCAAGACATGGTTGGTCAAGGAAATCAAATGGGTCATCAAATGTACATGGCACACAACCAAATTAAATCTGAGCCACAAAGTCCTATGCTTACGAGTCCAATGGCTAAAAGAATGTTTTTCAACCAGCAAAGTAACCATCCTATGGGAGTCCATTCTTCTAACATGCAACCTTTATCGAGTCCTACTACACCAATTCACACATTGCCAATGCAACCCACAATGCAGCCGCCTACACCAACTGGAGATGCTCAATGGCAATTTCCTATGAGGTATTTGTTTTGTTTGTTCCTAAAGCGTATTAATTTTTTATTAACGATAGTTGGAAAATATCACCATTGTTACAAGAGGCTTTTTTTGAATGAAGGGTGTTTTCCAAAATTGTTATTGTTGAAAAAATTCACTTTATTTTAGATAATGAAACGGTCACTTTCAAATTTTTACTTATTCTCAATTGTTGTAGTTTAAAAATATGCTCTGGCTCATGCGATTTCTGCTGCTTGTTTCAAGCGTGCTCTTGGGGATAAGACAGCGAAGTTTATTAACATAATTCTTGTTCATATATTTATGAGTGGTTTTCTCTCATAACCTATTCAGAGTTTGCTTGATATATTGGTATTCCTGGCGTTTTAGAGTTCATAAGAAAGTTGCAATAAATACAATCACATCAGATAACGCAGTAAAACAATGATACAAGAATGGTTTCCCACAATTTTTTCTCCCCAATAAAGCTTTGTATTTATTTTGTTTCATTACTAATAAACTTAGCCATTCACACAAAGTTATTGCCACCCAAATATCGAACAAAAATTTAATTATTTATTTCAGTGGGCAGCAACAGAATTATGTTGGGGTGCCGCAATCTCCGATGGCACAAACTCAACCAATGGATCTTGTTAATCATGATAACAATTTAGTACAAAATATCAACTATCTACCTCATACGAGACAACCAAATACTACTGGGAACCCGAAACAAGTAAGTATATTGCCACTAGATGTCTCTTTTGAGCAAATTGTGATCAAGTTTTACAGGATCAAATTTCGCTCAGATGCTATTTCTAAAGAGGATTTATATGTTTGTGACATAAATTAGAATAAGGATTTACAATGCAAATTCTGATTTAAACAAAACATTCTCTCAATTTGTTGATATTATGATCAGTATATTTTTCCAATTTATCCTGTGAAGAAAAAAAACGATGAAATCGCTTGGTGAACATATCATCCTCTCATCTGAATGCCAGTCTAAGTAGGGCATGGAACAAATTGTAGACTTTACAATGTAGAGGATGCCACAACCGACCGACATTTACACCAGTGGTCCCAACTTTTTTTTCTACATATTGCCCACTCCCTTTGCTTATTTCAGATCTCTTTATTCCTTCCTCATTATACATATAAATCATGTGCCCAGTATTTTGTTATTTTTCAATCTTTAACGGATCTTTAGCTGGTGTTACACGCAAAACACTTTGGCTTGTGAATTTTGAATGGTTTATAATGTGTCCACAAATAGGCATAAAATGACACTCAATAAATTTAATAAAAATTACATCTAATACAAGTAAACCTCAGTAGTCGAACAAGTCGATACTCTGGGACCTCCAAAAGTATGCACCCCAAGATGGTGCACAACCTGAACACCAGTGTTCACTATTAGCGCACTTTTTTGCGAAAATTGCGAAGCACTTTCGCAACTTTTTTTAGGGACTGCGAAATAGCACTTTTTTCCGATTTTGAAGAGAAATAGCACTTTTTTCCGATTTTGAATGGAATAAAAATTCAAAGTTAACAAATATTTTCGAGTATTAAGTTGAAAAATAAGTAACATACTAGTACTTTTGTAACTCAATTCTGCATATCATAACGATATTTACCGGAATTCTAACCTATGAGATGCAGACATAGGAGATAAAGCTTTTGCATTAACGGCAAAATTCTTGTTTATAATATGATTATTATACAAGCACACGGATTCCGCTTCTCCCGCAAAAAACGCTCCCGGGTGATTGAAACCAGATGTTGAAATAATAGGCAGTGGGTTTCTTTGAAGAGAGTGGTCATGTGACTATCAATGATATCGATGAATTCAAAATGACTATAAAAGTGTTATGTGTATAGTCACTTTGGATGAATTGTGACCAAACTGCACGATTTTCAAATCAGACGAAACTTTTAGCAGCATGTCACAGATTTGCAAAATCACCAAATTCACAAAATACCATTAGGTTCCATTTTATTGTAATCACAATGTTGAAAGGAGTGGCATTTTCCGTAATTTTGCAATATTTACACAACTATTTCTCATTGATATGCGAGGACGGGTGGGCAAAATTCAATATTTTTTTGAATCGAATATTTTTAAGGAGTACCGAATAAACGTGGTGGAAACATTAAAAAATCGGCAACAAAGCCTTTTTAACTGGTTAATTCCGTTGTAATCGCTAATTGTGGTGTTAATTGTTCTTGTCACCCATCGTTTTGGCGGCGATATCCAGGTTTCGGGTAATCTATATTCCCGCCCTCTCTTTTTTACAAATATGAATTCTTGTGGGTCGGTGGACATCGAAGTTTTATATTTCGGGTTTACCCGTTCGTTCACATCGGCAACAGCTGTTGAAGACATTGAAGACTCAGATTAACATTTGCGTTGGCTTTAATATTACCTATCAAGATTTGTAAATTTACCCTCCCAATTTTATGCGAATGGTAATATTATTGTCCATACCGTGATGCAGATATTTATTAAGACGATAATTAACTTTCTCATGTATTTCTATGGTGATAAACTTCGCAAATCTGAAATTGTGGCAATCCTGAATGTTGATTTAAAATAGTGATTGAATAATTCGGCAATAAAGGCATTTCTGCGTGGTCATAAGACGAGATGACGTTAATGAACAGCACTTCTTTTACAGGATATTTTACATATGCGACTTAATGCTAAAAAGATTGAGCTCGAGTGCTTTTTTTTCGAGTGCTCGAGTGCCTAATAGAGGTCAGGCGCTAATTGTAACTAATTCCCTCAAGTTTCAACGTGTTTTCAACAAAACAATACCCCGGCGATAATTATAGCTAAAATGTTACGGAGCAATTCACAATTTTATTTATGGAATTTGCAAATTCACCAGTTTCTTGACGATTTTGATATTGTCACGCCTTAATTATTAGTGAAAAAAATACTCCCCTCCTTCGGCGGCGGTTTGGCGGGTTCTTTGTTCCATTCTTCAGAAAGTTCTGACACGGGGGATATAGAATACTGAATCCGGAGGGTTGAATCCCTGTCCACTTACTGGTAATTTTCCGTTTTGAAATGCGTGAAACATTCTCTATTTTAAATTAAATGACGTTTCGCGGGCTAGAGTTCTCCCCGAAAATGATGTGTTCCAGACGTTAGTTAGACGATAGATAAAACATTAGATTAATAATTTTCGTGAAGCCCCGTTTTCGAAAATACAAAGTTATATCGCAAAAAATGCGTTATGATACATTTGGAATGAATCATTATTTACGGTTAATTCAGATCATATTTCACTCTTCATGACACCCGGTATCCGAAAATACAGTTGTATCTCGAAAAATGTGTTTTGTTACTTTTAAAATAAAACATTTTTGCGATTAATTTAGATCATATTTTACTTTTCAGGACACCCGTTTCCGAAAATACAAGGTTATATCGCGAAAATGTGTTTTGTTACATTTAAAATAAAACATTTTTGCGATTAATTTAGATCATATTTTACTTTTCAGGACACCCGTTTTCGAAAATACAAGGTTATATCGCAAAATGTGTTTTGTTACATTTAAAATAAAACATTTTTGCGATTAATTTAGATCAAATTTTACCTTTCACGGCAACCCGTTTCCGAAAATACAAAGTTATATCACAAAAAAATGCGTTTTGTTACATTTATTTTGCATTCCCAATAAAATACATATTTTCCCTAATTAAGGTCTTCGATCAATCTGTTCCTGTCGTTCAAGCTCGACACACGTTTGGACGAGTGTGGGGTGGTTTTTTGGTCGACGATAAATTAAAAAGTTGCCACACGTTATTTGTATAACGATAATAACTGAAAATTAAGATGTTATAATAGAAGTGAATTTGTCTCAATATGGTATTTTACGATTCCTGCCAACAGAAAATAAACACGCTGACAGGCTTGGTTATAATTGATATTCGTTTAATTTATTTTACACTATTAATAAACGCGCCAGACCAATTGCGACCATATAAATTGCAGTCGCATCGGTATGGACTGTATGATTTTGGCGCTCTCACATTAATAATAATTTTTAACAAAACAATACCCCGACGGTCATTAAAGCTGAATTCGTTACCGAATAATTCACAATTTTATTTACGGAATTTGCAATTTCAAGATCTCACTTGACGATTTTGATGATGTCATGCCCTAATTATTACTGCTTAAATGCCTCAAAATACAACAAATGTAATCATTTTCGACGATAACAGGCGCAACAATTCGTAAACGAACCGTTATAACGAAATTCGCAATTGATTTTACCTCTCTCTTGTTTACAATTTTAACATCCCGCCGGCCACGTATGGTCGAATAAAATGTTCACATATTCGAAACATGACTTGGCCAAGGATGGAAGGGATCACTAAAGAGCTAATAGAAAGTACATACGCGAGGGTATGATATTAATATCGAGAATATTTGTGAGCATATCACAGGACGGAAATATTTTGCACTCGGCTGTTTGTTGGCAGAACAACGATACGCTAAAGTTAATTGATCGAATACAGGGAAGTATTTATTTATCATCTCACTTGCGAACATCGAGGTTTTGGCGGAATTGTACGATCATGTTGTCTTTCTTAAATAATAACTTGTTGATAAAATAAATGTTCATTTTACTTTTGCGTCTTTATTATATGTCGGGTTTTCATTTATTTTAAATTCGAAATTGTCCGAAATACTCCAACAGGTGTATAAGTACAATAATAATAGTACTTACCAAAGTACTTACCAGGGAAGTTTAATACACACGATGTGTAAAGGGCGTCGTAACTCCCGTTTATTAATTATAAATTTTTTTACATTCTGGTTAAAAAACAACGGCAGTCATCTCACTAACTCTCGCGACCAAATCTTTTTTGTTTTGTATGGCATCGTCTTGGCGACGAATTTATTGCCGACTGAATTTTAATTGTGTTTTAGGATAAGTTATTTTCTGTTTGTTGGTTTCTAAACTTTACAAACTTGGGAGCAATTACTATTAATGTGAGATTTGTGCATATGAACGATTGAATATCGCGACTGGATGTCCGATATCTGAGAATGCGTACTTCTCTTTCAACATTAATTTTCAGGATATCAGCGTTCATGTGGTCGAATAAAAATTATTTATCAAATGGATTGGTATTTCGAGACACTCTCAAAATTATTTGGGATCCACTACCATATCATTCGTTTATTTTTTATATTCATGTTTTTCTCAAGAATCACCCTCGTTATATTCAGTGTACCTTCGCAAAAGAAAACTCTTTGGTGTCATCGTTCCTATTAGTGTAATTGAAATATATGGAAACCTCGCAAGTGGCGTTGTGATGCGAATATTTGATACTAGGTCAGCAGCATTACAAATAGTGCTATTTATGAATGCTGAAAGTACATGACATTTTGCCAAAATATTAAGTTTTCTGCCCGATTTAAACTAACTCGCACACAAACCAAGGCATGTCGACATTTAAAAATTACTTGTCTTTGGGTAAGCTCTGAAATAGTATAATATAAATGTAAATGAGAAATTAGGTCACGCTAGCTCACGAAACGGGAGGATTTTCAAAGTGATCTTGTGTAATATTTCGGAGAAAAAGGTTTGAAAGAAAAGTAGGTCAACCTATCTCCTAAAACAGGGGAGTATCCTGCGTAATATTTCGAAGGGAAGGTAGGTTAACTTATCTTTTAAAACAGCGGGTGGCGACTTTCAAAGTGGTTCAAAATCACAAATTTATAATTATCAGATTAGGTTTAGGGATAAATCGAAAAGTTGAATTTCCAGCGCACCTAACCCTAATTAGTTGATTACTATTTATATTTTGGGGGGGGGGGGGGATTATTTTGCACGGGATTTGTACAAACGATCCACCCTGTAACTAATATGGTTTCCAGCCTGCCTCGTGTCTGTTAGATGGAAGGAGTAACAAATGTGAAAGTCTTTGCTGTTTACGCGAGTAAGCAACTGACACCGTGATACATTGCATGAAAGTTTTGTCCCGGCAGGTGTTAGCAGATGTCATTTCGTTGCCGATGAATTTGCTTGTTTTAATTAAACAATTCGCTTAAAGGGAACTCGGTTAACGAAAAGGCTTCTCTTTAATTCATAATATTAACCGGATGAGCGCTTTTTTGAGTATCTATGCCGTTTTAAATGGGTTATATGAAAGGCTAGGGCACCTAACTTGTTAAAATCGGTAAAAGCACTTTCGCACTTTTTTTTTAGACTGCGAAGCACTTTCGCACTCATAATTTGCTTAGAGTTAACACTGCTGAACACAGTATGTGTGTACCGGTTAGGTTTCAGGTTGTGTGACAACTTGGTGCGCATACTTCTGGAGCACCGGACAATTCGGTAGTCGGCCAAAAAATTCTAATCAAAAATGCTGTGGTACTCGGTTGAAAATTTTGAACTGGTTTGACCCATGCTTGTGATTAGTCTGGTGATGCTTGCACAACCAACCGGCAACCGCCAATGCAATTGTAATAATTATAATTTGGCTTGTCTGCTAAACTTGAGTTAACTTCTTCAACTTTTGGGACGGTGTCATCACACATATGTATGCAGTTGGTTTCAGAATCCAGAGAAACCTTTTATTTTCTAATTTTGATGTCTATAAACTCGCACTGGTAAAAATCACTATCTAATTTATGCCACTTTTAACACTATTCTTCAAACTTTTCAGCAAAGAAATCGGCGTCCCAGTGGCAATTCAGGACGAAAGAATCCTGATGGAACATTATCATGCACAATATGTGGACATTCTTTCAGAAGCGTTCCAGCACTTAACGGACACATGAGAGTACACAGCTCTTCTAATGAGAAAAAGGTTAGTTTGGTGATACTTTAATTGAGTAGTATTAAGAAAATATTATATTGGTCTGCAAGCTAGCATTTTGTAGCCTCCTGGTGCATCATACTTTTTATTTTGACTAATTTGCCTAAAGCTTGATCTTAGTCGCTCACTTAAACACCCCTGTTTCGTAGATAAACTAGGTCTAGTTGCCACTCAAGCATTGATATTTCCCATTGGGAGTATTTTTCCTATCGTTTGCTCACCAATTTTTTTATTTTATTTCTATATTGATTGGACTTCTTAGTTATAGTTAGAAATGTAGCCTACATAATATGTTCATATTTGAAATAGTTTTGTGTCTTAAGTTTTGATATAGAATAATCTAAATAAATGTGTTTCGAGGCAAATATTAAAGATTATAATCAAACTATTGCACAAGGCTTCCTCAAGCCTTTCGAATATATCATTATAGTTCCACTCCACCAAAAAGGTTAAAAACCAATAGCCTATCAGTGAAAGCGTAGACCGAAATGTTTTGGCAGGTTACACTCGGATTCAAATACCATATTCCGCTACTCCTCGATAGTGTAATAAATTTGGTATAGATATAGATTGTACAGATCTTGTTTGGAGCAAAAATAGTGAATAATGTACATTTATTATAATGATCCATAAATGACGCCTCATTTCATATGTAAAATAATTTAAAATATGTTTAAAGAGAATTAGATATATAACTCATGTAGTAGTCATATATATCAGGGTTGGCCAACCTGCTTTCGACCGCGATCGACTAAAATCTCTGAAATAGCTCACGATCGACTGATCAGTAACAAGGTTATACATACATACACAATAACGAATGAGTTCTGAATATTCAGATAACTGCACACAGACACAAGCATAGAAAAATTCCACCGCTGCCAATAAGCTCGGCTAAGAGCGCATTTTTAATGAAATCGCAACAAATCTGTATCTTTGTGTTCCATTTAATTTCATTATGTAGTTGTACCCAGAGTAAATTTTCATCATTTATTCAAGATTCATTCGAATCATACAATTCAGATCTGATGCCTGCCTAATTTTTAACCGTGTTGTGTTGTTGTGTTGAAAGTTACCCCAAAAACCTGACCAAGTATCCATATTATCTAAATGGCAAAAAATAAATATACTCAAACCATAAATGTTACATGACTGCTCAAACTTCGGTATCTAATTTACAATATCCTCAGAGTCCGATTCTACGCACGCTTGGAATTAGAAACTAATATGCTCTATCGCACTTGCCCAGACTCAAATACTGTAAGTCTATTTTGTATTATGTGCACGTACAGTACTGTATTCGCCCTGTTTTAAAGCACACAACAAGCGCTGCATGAAACTGGTTCGAGACAATTTTGAGGTATGTTATTAAATTCACTCAACATCAGACGCGATCCGCTACTCAAGACGTGGCGATCGACGTGTTGGCCACCCCTGATATATATCATTGCTTATTCTTGTATTTAAGAAGTGCGGATTGTTTGGGGTTATACGATATCAATATCCAACATTTTGTCTATTAGGTCTTATAAATACTTATATGAATTGGCTTTTTCTCATTACTGCAATGTTTTTATTTTAATATTCAATATTATATGCAAATCATTTTATAGAGTTTCCAGCAATTCTGATTTCAAATATCAAATGGAAGCAAATATAAGAACTTTGATTCAATTTCAACCTTAAAAACATATTCCAATCTTCAATTTCAACTTTTAACCGACCTCTTCAGTCGTTTGTAGTTATGTGTCATTTCAAGAGCATAATATGTACTTGAATATAAAATACATAATAAGTTGACAGCAATTACTTTGTCCATATAGTTATTGAAGCGTGCTGTGGTCTCAAACACAATATATTAGTAGCTGTTGCCATGCCTCCAGCCATAATAACTTGAGCGGCATTCCTGTGGGAATGATGGTAGACCAGGCGAATGTGTCTGAGTCTACAGGTAGTATATGAATGAATGCATTGAGACACTGGTATTTATAGTCTGACGGATGTAGATAAGGAACAGTAGAGGAAATATGTTGTTACCTTGTGTGAGTTCAATTAAGGTATTTGCTAGATCTATATATGGTACGGTGATTCAAATTTTCATATTTAGTAGGTTGACTTCAAATTCAGAGAAATGTTGAAAATGGTAAATTTAACTATCAATGTTGCATATTTTGGAAATTCAAGATATTGTTAATTAACCATTGTCATTTTAAATAATTCTAGAATAACATGCTATTAAGATGTAGACATTCTTCGTCGTGAATTTTTTTTTCCCTTTTTAATTAGTAGGTTGTATCTTATGAACTTTTAGTCAAGTTCAAAACGAAAATTAGTTCAGTTCTAGAAACTGTATTGAGATCCGGAGTATTTGAAGATTTTAGCTCAAACGATATTTTAAAGATATGCAATGTAAAAAAATTAAAAAAGGCTCTGTGTTGTTCAATAAAATCAAGAAATTGTTATTAATGAAAATAAGGAATAATGGAATTCAATGCTGTTAGAAAAAGTTTTTGAGATAAAGGACATTACCGCTAATTGCATGAATTTAACCCATTGTGCAGTGCGATTGTTTTGGAATTGGCCCATTTAAATTATTGAAAATTCATATTGAATTGCTGAACAAATTAGGAAATATTGACCTTTTTTGACAAGGTAAAACCATTTCCCAGGTATCAAACTTTTTTTAACTCTTTATTTATATGGTGATTCTGTCTTTTTTTTTAACGCATCAACTCACCCATCAATCAGTATTTTTAAAGATACAGTTCTACACTATAATGATTTGTTGCGTCAGTACTCAGTAGCTTTTGGCCGAAAGTTCGCTCGGAGATCAATTTTCTGTCTTCTTGATTGAATGACCTTGCTTGGAGCAAGTATTCCTGAAAAAACGCTGTATACTCTTTTATTGAAGATAAAAAGTTACAAATGTTAAAAATAATCATACCCGTTAAAAAATGCTAATTATATTCAAAGTGTGCCGCTTAATTTTATAATCAAAATCTACTTGCCTAATGGAATAATATTAACTTAGAATTAGATTGTAATTATTGCCATGGAATTTTGACAAGTCTCTTTCACACGAAATTGTATGTCTGCATACCTTGCCGCATTATATTTACGTCACAAAGATAAGCCCTGTGAATAACCTACATGTCAAGGCTAATTTTGTTTACAGTCTGCAAGAGAGCCTTCTGTTAACTCTTAATTAAATGTAAATTCATTATGCAACAGGCTAGATACTGCTGGCAAAGCTCTTTGCTAAAACTGTCTTTATTACTACTTTGTAACATTCATTTGAAATTGGTAATGGTATCTCAAAATTTGGGATTGTTTTTTAAACCTAAATTTCTCTGCTACGGAATTTTTTGCATTGTCATTGTCTGGAAAAAGTTGTGTATTTTTAGTATTTTCATGACCTTCACAATGTTCATGTCTTATACCAACTCGAACATTGAGAACAATACTAAATTATGCAAAATTGACATAGTTTAAATAACTTGCTCAAAATTACAATTCTGCATTATTTGTTAACAAGAAAACGAAACGCCACGGAATGTAAGTAGAAATTTCTCACAAAAAGAACTTACAATTTCATGTTTACTCAAGAGTCTACGTACGTCATATGGAAAGGACTCGCCTTGAAGTTTGCTTTCTCCTTATTAAGAGACTTATCGGAAATTTAAATAAAGACAAAAATGTACATAGAAAAAAGACAAAAATAGCAAATTTATTGGATTTTGACAAACTTAAGTTATGAGATCATTCTATTGTGAGGTCTTTTGTACTAGCGTCTGTAATTTTCTTAAATATTATTGATTTGAATGTTCTAAGTATATCACCAATGCAGTACTAACAATCAATATAAAAATAAGAAGAAAATTCAAAATGCAGTGATTGTGGATCTCAGTACAGGTTTTTGAAATTTTTGAATATGACCGAAAGCCTATTTTGTTATAACAGAAGTTAGTTTTGAAAAAGATTTTACCCAGTTAGAGGAGCCCTGTTTTAACCTACACTTATTTGGGTTATAATTATATAACGTTAGGGGAAGATTACCTAACTTGTAAAATTTTTATGAGTATAATAATGGATTTTCCCAAAAACCATATGTGGGCCGCAATTAAATGCTGATCTGTAGAAGTTTCCAGAAATAAACAGTGCAATTGAATTGTCATGTCATAATCGTCGTAATGGTACAATTGCCAATAGCTGCATACCCGTCTACATGTTCTATTATAACAGTTCACTTATCTCAGATTGAATTAACACTGCGCCTATAATAAATTTTTTAACCGGTAAGTTTATCAACATGCTTACTACAGCATTTATGATGTGTGAAAATGTTCAATTTTGTTATTCCAATACCATTCTTATCTGTTTGAAAATCAAACAGAACTCTGTTTGTAGTTTCAGTTCCCCGTTTCTGTCATGTGATACCAAGTAATGACATTATTTTTATTTGAAGTCTGTTTTGATGTAGATCGAAATATGAATTTGTTTTTATTATTTAAAGTAATTTTAATATAGGATGAATGTGTTGACTGCTTTCTGATAGAAATTTGAATATTATAATGATATTTATATTTTTGAAGCATCATACAATGAAACACAATAATAAAGATGTGAATTATAATAAAAAAGTTCAACTGTAATTTTAAATTGAATTTGCAAAATCCTGCTGTTTTTTTTATCCTGATCAAGGTCCAATTTTTTTCAGATAAACATCTATAGTGGTAAATGGTATCATTATCTAAATTATATAAGAGAATAACATTTATGAAGAAGGTGGATTCTAAATGGAAAGTCAAAGAAATAAATACAATACAATATAATATGTTTTTCAATTTTGGCATATCTACAAAAATTCAACTCTGCTCACCATTCTCAAACTAGAAAAATACTGTAATAAGCTAAATTGGATTATATTATTATTATTTCATATTTAACATGAGCAATATTGCCAAAATGGTATTATTCTGGATCAGTGTTCA